CTTCCCACCCTCTCTCACACTAACACTTAAAAAACCCTTACTGACACAATTTATCAGCATTCCCATGGGTACAGAGTACAGATATCCCAAGAATTTTTTTGTCTCTACAGTCTAGCAGCTATAAATCAGAGGTGCAATGYTATATAGCACTCCTTTATTTTGCTCTCAGAAAAGGCCTTTTTAAAGTGTCCACAGGACTTCAGCTCTACCACAATCACAATCACTTGGCAAAAGCATCAGAAACAAAAGGATGAAAGCATATCTCAGAAAGCAATATTGCCTTCCTCATGTAAGACAGAGACTATATCAGCTAAGTGACTAAAATATTTCAAATGAAAACCACAGCCGCTGGAAACTGCTGCTATTCATTTCAAAATAACCTTGATTTAGAATATCAGGCTTCCAGTAGAAGTAGTTACATTAACAGAGCCAACAAGGTAAGGAACATCACTACACAGGGAAGAATATGCAAACATGCCTKTTCCTCATATTTTCTGAAGAGTCACACATTTTACATTAGATGCCCACTCTTCACATGTGTTTACATTTGAAGTATTTACACATTAAGTTTTAAGTAATTTTGGGTGTTACAGTACATTAATTAGACATCAGAATCCATAAACATATTTAATTGAGGAAGATAAGCAAGAAAGGCCAGAACAAATACTAGATTTATTTTCCAATCTCAGCAGAGGTGAAACTTAGCAGGTAAAACTGCTGTCAAATAGCTATTTTGAGAAAGCAGCTGAAAACTTGATGGGTACTTCTGCATCTTTCCCTTCGTTACAGATCTTTAATGTGACACCAAATCCAAACATTCAAACCAAAGACAAGTTCTTGTCCACCTCTGACCTGCATAAGGCTCAGAATCCTGGTCTCATAACTACATGCATGTTAAAAGATGAAAACACATCCTCTTAATCAGACCACCATTTTTTAAAATAGCTTTTGATTGTATTGTTTTAGTAAAGATAGTTGTGATGATTGCATACAGGGTACAGGAAAATAATGTCTTTAAAAGACTGCAGCCAATGTAATTTACCAGAAATGAGCTTGGCCCAGGATAAGTTGTAAACTTTAAATTATAATATGGTGTTTATTGCCAGAAACACTACTCTGTGTGTTACAAATTTCCTCATTTCTCTTCCCAAAACAATTGACAAATGTGGTTGGTCCAGTCTGCAAGTGTTAATTGGTCTTTACTGGAGTGATTAAGTGTCACCTGTCTCAAAAGTAAGATATAAATTGATGAAACAGTAGTAAATTTGGCTGTACAAACACATACTCACATGAATATTCTGGTCATACTATAATCATGGAAGACAGGCAGTAGTGTAAAACCTTTGGAATATCTCCTAGTATTTCAGTATTTTGTAAGCTGAGAAACTAAAGATGTATCGATGTATGCAGGATTTCTGTGCCAAAATACAATAAAATGCAAAACCTAACCTAATATTGATAACTAGAGCTATTCCCTCCATATGCTGCAGCACAGTTCTTTAGACTCCGCCTGTGCCTGTCTCTGGTCCCATTGGCCTTCTGCCAGATTGCTCCTGAACAATCTATATTAAACATGCAATGCAGTAAAGAGACTAGGAAAGCACAGAGAGAGTGACTTATGCAAAACAATTAGGTGTCCTTCAGTTTTTCTGTCTCTGAATGCGAACCACATTACTTTTACTCAGCTAAAATGCCACAGGTATGCTGTGGAAGGAAGGAAGACATTAATCCTAATTTTTCACAAGCTGTTTGGATATATATGAGTATTGTCCTAAAGCAATGAAGAAAACCAGTAAATGTTTCTGGTTTTTGCCTCTGGTTTCATTTTTTCAAGATGAAGTACAGTTATGCCCATGTTCTCTCCAGTTATCCTGGGTAGAGGCTGAACTTGTTTATTCCATTCTGATTTTGAACATACAGGAAAGTATCCTGCTGTCGTTGGAAAGAGACCCTGCAACACCATTTGCTCCCTAATGAAGCAAAAGAAAAAAAAAAAAAAAAAGGTCTCAACTTCATATATGCCAATCAAATTAAAGATCTAATCTAATAACACAGACTGCTACTGCAGGAATCTTCCTGGTCTTCAGAACTTGCCTAGACCATGAACACAGTAATGTATTTTTTAGTGGCCATTTCTTACAGGACATTATGTACTGGGCCCAGGAAGTACTAACACTTAATGCTCTTTATTGAACTGCATTGAGGCTGACACTACCTCTCTGAATTTGTATCAGCCTCCTCATTTGGATAAGAGTAGAGTGGAGAAGAGGTAAAAACACCACAAAAACACAGGCAAGCACTTCTTCCAGAAATGTTCTGTAAAACGCCTTTAACTTGTCCCTTAAAACTTGGGCAAATTCATAGTGTCATCCCTTGTTACTTGGTTTGCATGACTCTAGATAGCAATAATTTTGTACATGCTTTTTTTTTTCCTCCACAGGCAGTAACTGCACATTGACCTGGCATGCAAAAGACATGCATTGCAAAAGACATGACCTTGTAAAGTATTTTTCTGGTCTGAAAAATCACAATTTCAGTGTCTTTTCCTCACTGGCTTGTGATTTTCTGGCAGTATTTARGAGAAACTGGCAAAACTAAGAACAGGTCAAGTACTTCAGTGGTTGCATGCTGGGAAGCAAGATTACTCTACCTGGATTTGGCTGGGGCAACTAAGTCAATCCTGTCCTCTTGGGTGGTGGAAAGGCTGCTGACAATGCCCGCTGGGGTAGGCTTAAGTGAAGGAGGACCTGACACTTCCTGCTGTCTTTGCTGAAGCAGGGATCTCACACYATCTCCTTCAACTGGGACAGCCACGTCTTATAACCTGTTGGAAATACTTCGTGGGTATTTGTTTCCAGCTGCTAAGCTTTGGAGTCCTCAAGGAAAGGGAAGCTGCTCTTTGCTCACAGCTGTGACAATTGACTCCTTCACAGAGGACTGTCACATACTCTCAGAGACTTACTGAAGAATGATCCTAACTCAATCAGCATACGTTTTCAAATAATGCTTCTACAGTTGGGTCTCAATGGAGAGAAAATAAAGTTACATGATGGCACCCTACGGGATCTCGTTAGCCTGTTGTGCCTGGCAAATAAATGAATTAAACTATCTGGAATGGTCTGGAAGCTGCTACTATCTTCAAGATAATGAAAAACAATTTTGAAAAAAATTACAAGTTTTGAGCTACTAGGCTGRCCCTGCAGGACAATACATTAGTTTGGTGGCTTTCCATGCCTCTTTATTTTCCTTGTGCTCCGTWTGCACAGGAGATCTCTTTGATTAGGACCTCCATCCCCAAGGGAGARCTAAGGACTTAATTTGCAGTATAAAATCAAAGTGTATTCTTTTGCTGTTGAATTTCACCTTCCTGTTATAGTTTTGCTCATTTCATACACCCCTRGTGGTGTTTCAAGGCCAGAGATCACTCATAGCACCTGCACTGCTCTGTCAAATGCTGATATTCCACTACTAAAGATTTCAGTTTCTAAACATTAAGATAGAAGCCTCTCCAGCCAGATAATTGCTAGATATCTTGAGGAAACAGCACCAGGAATGGCATGAAGGAACATAGGTRCTAAAAAGCTACATCCTATGTTGATTTACAGCCTATAATTTCTCATTATTGTAGGATAAATGAAATTACAATCTTTATGGGATAACATACCAACTTTTCCTTCCACTGAAACTGGATTTACAGCACTAATTCAATTTTGCTCAGCAGCATTGATCTAGATACTATTTCCAGAGCAAAGTCTAGATASAGAATGGGGAGCTGAGGGCCATTTAAAAACTTTTTATAAAGTCTTTCACAGAAATCAGCCTGAACTTCTTGTTCAGATGCAGCTCCATATTCACTACTGCATAAACAGACAAACTAAAAACAGTTCCTGTGACAGCGTGAAGGTGTTTACCAKCAAGTATGTTAGAATGAAAAAAAAACAATGGGGACAATATAGAGCATCAAATCACTATAAGTAACTTTCAGATGGTAGACAAAGTTAGGGGAAAATATACAAGCAAACAAAAACACAATGGAGCACAATGGGCTAAACTTATCCTAAGTATAACTCCAGCCAGCTGGCTGATA